TCAGTTCTTATGAGAAAAGGAACAGGGAATGAGATTGTTTAATGACAGAAAAGATTACCAGAGAAGGCTTTTTGGAGCAGTGCATAAGAGTTTGGTGTAACTACATCTCATCATAACTGGTCAGTAAACTACCCTTCCAGTTGACACCATGAAGGCTCCCATTTTAAGAAATACTTTTACAAGCCAGACAAACAAAAAAAAAAAATTACAGTCACTAGATTTAATTATTTGTGAATCCAAAAGGATCTCAAAGCACCTTCATGGGAGGATTTCACATTCATTGAAACATAATGCAGCTTAGGTGTAAAGCACGGCAATGATTTAACACTGCACAGAGGTATAAATACAAAACCGTACCATGGAACATCTGCTGATCATTAGCACTCAGGAATTTTAATTTTATACTGCATCCAACACACAGGATTTTCAGATTTACCTGCTCTGTAGGGGAACCTTCTGACTCAGTGCCTTAGATGAACTCGAAAAGAACACCAGTTGTTCCCAAATCAATTATAAAGCCCCTGCTTCAAGATTCGTTGTATCTGAAGGGTTTACTTTAACACAACAAAGCTAGTAAAATGTACCAACACAAGGTTTTCAATTTGAAAAGCAGCCTAAGGGAACTATTCTTTCTATGACAGTTATTTAAAGGAGGGTTCAACTTTTCAAGATAGCCTTAGATACATCTCAGTGACAGAATTTGTGCCTAACTAACTAGCAGGATTTCAAAGTGCACAGTCCAGCTTTATAATAACTCCAAGTCAGAATGTAAAGCAGCGTATATATTTCCATTGAAAGAAAACTCAGACATGAGTGTGATGAGAGAGCACACATTCCCTAGTTTGGACTGTCACTCACCTTGGCTATTCCTTAAGCCAATTCCTGAGGAACAGCCAGATCTTCACATGTTTCAATGAAGCCAACATCTAGAAATGAACCTTCTACAACTCAAGATCAACTGTTGCTTTTCAAACTTTGATTTAATCAGATTCAAACTGATTTGCATCCAACGTACACCATATTTGAGCAGATAAAACAAAGTTGTGTGTATCCTACTGCACGGAATAGTTTCCCAATGACACCACTCTCCTAGCTCCAACATATAGAAGACACTGCCACTTTACTATATTAGCCTCCAACCTTAAACTCTGAATCCAGAAAAGCCTTTTGAAATATCCTGCTGAGGCTTGAATTCATGTCTCAATCTGTAGCAAAAAGAATAAATCTAATGTGCATGCATGTAGAGATAGACACCGATCAATTCCTTTTTTGCATAATATGACAAGTCAAGATACTTTGCACCTATATGATTTTATCTCATTTTCTGTAAAGTCAAAACAGCACAATTCCTTCTACTAGCTCCTTGCTCATCCATATCTTCCCCTTTCCTCCCCACAAATCAGTCTTTCTGTTTTTTCCTGGATGCAAACATTTATTACCCAACATAACTATTGTTTAGTAGTCTACCTAGGAAAAGAGCAACCAAAAGACAATTTGCCCAGTGCTCTGATTTGTGTTAGCAGATATCTGCAATAAACCAACCACAAATGACCAAGAGAAACAATATCTTAAGATCTAGGCAAAGGTCAAGTAGTTCAAGATGATATTCAAGGACATGGATGTTTGCAAGTGACACTTCAAAGCAGTGGTATCACCTTACAACCCCTCTAACACAACTAGTGTCACCAAGCTCACATGTAAGAATCATTTTGTCTTGGTAATCTTCTTTGGTTCCATGCTTGCTAAATATGTCTGTGCCATTCTGTCCCAGACGACTTGTTTTTAGCATGTTAGCACATTGGTATTTCAAATCCTCTTGAGCTGTGTAAGGAGAGAATGCTTAAGAGAAGAACAGTAAGGTGAGCTATAAAAATAGGCACTGTACCTAACTGGTGAGATCTTCCATCCCCTAGTGGGTATCTCTGGTACCGTGGGACACTGAATGGAGGTAGGAGATGGAATCTCTTCTCCAGCAATGGTTCAAGTCTGCAGGCAGAGGGGTCAGCAGAGTGAAAGAAACTGTACACTTGGCTGCAGGCTGGGCGGACCTGGCATACTTGGATGAGAAAGAGACAGAGAAAGAGAGTTCAGTAGTGTCCCTTCACAATTTTCAAGGAGTCTATACAGAGATATGGTTAATACGGTCTTCTGCAAAATCCAGACTAGCATACATCCGGCCACAAGAAATATAACTGCTATTTTCTATGTAAAAAACCACTTCATTGCTATGGAGTTTATAGAGACATCACAATCTGGGACGCAGGCACGTAGCAGATGTGAAGACCAGCCAGACAAACAGACAAAAGTAAGGAAGGAAAAAGAAGTTTAAAAATCTTGTAAATATATTATTAAGCATTACAGCTTTGATGTCAGCACTTCAAATTTACCAGCAAAATGGCTTGATGGGCCTGTTACGTCCAGTGGACTTAAATATAGGTGACAGCAGGAGCAGGTAGGTGACAGAAAGCACTGCAGTTTCTGAAGCCACCTTATAAAAGCTGATGTATAGAAATCAGGTTGGTTGCACTGTAACAGCAAAGCTCTTTATGATTCTTGCTGAAGGTGTGCAGCTCCTGAGGGCAAATATGAAAATCACTCAGCTAACAAGGCATTCTTTTGACTAAATGCACAGCATCGAAGCATGACTTATACTCAGATGGGTGACATGAGACTGCTAAGGTCTGTAAAACAGTTGGTGTAGTCACTTCTCACCACACACCACACCACACTTCAATCACACTGAATCCTGCCAGCGTGAGCACGTCAATTCATTATAGGCTCATTAAACTTAGCACAGTTTGTATAGCATCGCATTACATGTTACAACAGTCAGTTTATTAACAACAAGAGTAAAAGAATGACTAAAGTATTTATAAAATATGTTTGAGAATATTACTTCTGCTCCCCATGAACTCCTTGCAAGCAAGACATGTTTTCAAACCTGCTGTGCTAGACAATAAACTCTAAATCTTCTTTTGATAGAATTATTATTTCCTTGTGGTGATAACAAAAACCTGGTAACATGTATGATGTTTTTCCTTAGAAGACATGTTTGGTACAGCTTTGTTCTCATGCACAAGCCAAACGCACACTTAACTGGAAACCATAGAGAAAGATGTTAGAGTCTTAATATAAGGTGTCATGGATTCCAGATCTAATGGAGTTTATCTTAAGTGACATGTCTCACCACATCGCTCATCATGGAATTAAAAAAATTTTAAAAAAACATCAGAAACACACTACTTGGGTTCAAGCACAACAGTCAAGGTATTTGTACATAAGCAAAACTACAGTGAGAAAACTTGATGCTGTACATCTTCCTCTGTTGCAGCCACAGAGAGTCACTAAGAGCTACATCAGAAAACACCACATTCTCACAGGTTTTCTCAAGTGTTTTCCATGCTGCTGGAAGGACTCTAAAAATTCATGTTCTGGTGCTTGCAGCAATTAATGGTATATAGGAACAAATGTTGATATAGATATAAATCTTATATATAAATATATATAAATGTTGACATAGATACAAATCTTGATGTTACCAAGTTGTAAGCTTAAAAGATTGATACTGATTGTAACAGCAGCATTGCCATACACAGGTCAGAGCAATACTTCGTTTTGTTCTGTTCTATATGAATGTTTGTTCTATAAAGGCTACAGCATAGGCACACAATGTTTTTTCTCAAACTAGTAAGACAATTAACCTTTTATTGATAATAGTAGAAACCTTCTCAAAGATACTTTGATTATGACGATGAATGACATTCATGGTGACTACTTTATTGCATGCATTCTGTGCTAAACTGTATAGGAGGCTTATCTTCATGTCATGAAGATGTCAATACTCATAGCCTCCCAAGAAATGCTCTGGGACAAATCTTCCCATAAGAACATACCTATATATGATCCAGCTGTGCAAACCATAAACTTTTTTATTGTTTGGACAAGCAGTGTGCATTTTATTTTGCATTCATTGACTCACTGAGGATGGACAAGCAGTGTGCATTTTATTTTGCATTCATTGGCTCACTGAGGATGGTACATCATCTCTTTAGTTCTGCAGGATTTTTGTCACACAGAGAGAAAATGTGGGTATCTTTGGGGGCTTTAAGTGAAGCTTTGTGGTTTTTTTTTTTCCCCTAAGCTCTCTTTATAAAGCATTTTAAGACTGTTATCAGTGGCAACTACTATGTTTCCAGCTGCAGGATAACCAAAACCTACTTTTGATGTCTGTTGTACGTTGATTTTTCTAGAAAGGATGGCTTTGTGCACCAGTCAGCACACCTGGTAGCAGATTAAAAGAAAGTGGGAGATAATAAGAGACTGCTTGTTGAGGACACCATAGAATCTCTTCCCTTTCCCACTATCAAATAAATAGGAGCTTCATGCCACCTTTGTCCCTTTCCCACCATTAAGCCAGTCATATGCAAGAACTATGGCCTGTGCGATTCTTCTGTGGAGCACCTTTCCACAGTTCTCCCAAGAACCACTATCAAGTACCTTTTTTTCTTAACATATTCTCCAAGTAGGCTACAAGAAGTGCCCATCAGTTTATTTATGAAAATGGAATAAATTCTCCCATGTATTCCAGTTAATTGCATCACAAGAGAAGCAAAAAGGAAACACCAGCAAGGCTGCAAAGATCCAAGACTACTTTTAACAGCTTTCTTCAAGCTGTATTTTGTCCTTAGTATTCGCCAAAAAAAAAATGGAAACAGGTCACCTCTGTGAGAGCATTTAAGCACAGCAGAAATTAATTCTTTGCAAGGAAGGTATAATTCTCCTGCAAAGCCCAAGTAGTGTGAAATACACTCTGTGAGATAAAGCAATGCACTGCATTATAGTTAAAACCATATTTTGGCAAGCCTGCAACTTTGACATATGTATTAGGGATCTAGTGCTTATAAAGTAGAGCAGTAAATTGGGTATTATCCTGCTAAACTAGAGCTTCCTTGCCTAGCAGGGAGTATACTGGTTTATACCCTCTTTCTCATGCTTAACTGTCTGAGCCAAACATAAAGGAATTGCTTAATGCAATTAAATCAGTTGCCTAATTGCACCTTCTAATATTTCTTGTACAGAAACATTTTCTGTATATGTCTGCCTCCTGCATATGCACAAAAGGCAGACAAAGAAAGGCAGCAATGCAAACAGCAGGGTTATGAAAGCTGTCAGCCTAGGGCAAATTATGACATTTAGTGGCAACAAGCAATCATGTCCTCTGAGTTATCAGCTGTTTTCATACCTCTCTTCCAACTTGGCAAAGGAATACAGCACATTATGTTCCAAAGGAGATTACTTCCTACCACTGTGGCATTTAGCAGTATTATATTTAGCAGTATTGAGAGCAAGTGCAAAACACTCTACCATTACAACCATCCTAAGGTAGAACAGTGCCACTTTGTGGATGTAACTAAATGCTCCTGATATATTTAGAATTCTAAAAAACATTGACATTTTCATAGGGTAGCAAGCCTCTTCCAAGGATAACCATCACACAGAGAGTGGAAGAATATGGCAGACACACACAAATGATCACACTTTAGAAAGTAAGAACTGAGACTAGACAGTGGGAGGACCACGGAAGAGTGCTAGAGGGTAACCAGAAGGACTGTCAAGGAAGCACTAAGGGACCAACAGAATATTCAACAGGAGAAAATTAAAAGGCATTTGGTAAGGAAATAAAAAATTGGAATGAAGATTTGGTTTTAGCCACACTCCTATTAGTGTAGAGATAAATATTCAGAAAGTAAAACACGACAAGATGCATCTGTTCTGCAGAGAGAACAGGCAAACCTCTGGATATAATATTTTTCCCTTTCAGTTTAAAAACTGACTCTAACAAAACTAATAAATAAAAACATCCTGAATTTCATTTCTCACATTTCCAGGTAGCTTTCTGCCATCCATTTCAGTAAAAAGGGCACCTGACTCTTCTCACCTAACTTCCAGCTGTCTGCATGACAGGTTTCAATTTGTTTGTTTTCCTCTCAACTGTGCCACAATTATCACTCTAAAATGGGATTCTCTTATCATATGTACCTGTAAAGACTATGCTTCAAGCAGACTTTGCTTACCTTGGAATGTGTTTGAAATGCTGGTCAGTTGAGCTGCTCTCAAAGCATGCTCCCTGCAGGATACCAGAGGGAGGATGGAAGTGAGAGCTAATTTGAAGAACATAGCTAAAACACTAGCAATTAATGTGAAATTTTCCTGTCAAAGTGTCTGGAGGGTACCAGAGTTGAGATTGGGGAAAGAATGACTATTGGCTAGAGTTCAGAAACATACAGTCCCAGACCAGTAAAGTATTTAAGCATTGAAACTTGCCATCCATCTCTACCTAATCCCAATTCTTTATAGTTATCCCACTTATCCACTAGAAATTTAAATATGAGAAGGGAACTTTGACCTGTGCACGGAGCTGCTGCCAAAATATTATAGGAGGACTCAGAAGTTGTGTTTGCTCTTCTTTCCAGTATCTAAAGCTAAAAATGTAATTGTATGGTATATTTATTCCAAACTGGCAACAGGAACACTTGCTGTGCAGAAGAGCTGGTTTTTACATTCCTGTAGCAAGTGGAAAACTGTAGAACAGACACGTTATATCTTGCCTCAATCTTATCAGTTTCACTGTCCATAAGCCATGTCTCAGACATCTTGCTGAAGGAAGCTATCAGAACCTAAAGACATTGTGTTTTCTCTTCACTGATACATTCTCATCAATAAATGGCAAGCACATACAGCAATCAGACTCCTGGTAACCTTCAGAAATTTCCTTCTTACCAGTCAGGGCAAAGCTATCTCTTTTCTTCTCTTGCCTTGCAGCCTTCCCCAGTAACACAGATGAGTTTTAAATTCAAAACAGCATTATGGCCTCATATAAAAACATAGTCAAAATACGGTAAGTCACTTTGTTTTAAAAATTACCACTTGAGACAAATCCCAGTAGCCTCATTTTTACCTCATTCATACTTTGGCTGGATTTCAGACAGGGAAAGGTTACAATCAGCTTGCAGAGCTTTGCCTGTCCCTGTGATCCTACTTTACAATTTAACATTTCAGGAAGGCAGCTCTCACCTCTGCGAATCCAACATGACTTCTAAAGGGCATGTTCATATGGCCAATAATGACTTCTAAATGTAATTGTCAGACTTTTGAACACACGAGTGCTCTCCTGTGCAGCACAGCATTCAAGGGAAGACTTTCAGATTGCACAGAGAACTACACACAAAAACTGCATGACTTCAGAGCAATCCCTCTTGCAAAAAGCCATAATTTCATTGAATTTTGACATGTTTTCAACACATGTGTACACTCCCTTGAAGAGAAATGTGAATTTCATCTGTGCTCATCTGCATTTGTCCTCGAAGATTCTAAAGAGGCATCTAATGAAACAGACATATTTCATATGTGATCCCAGAGTAAACGTGTGTCCATTCTGATTCATTAAATGGAAAACACGACATCTTGCAAAAATACGAATTCTAGCTCAAAGAATTTTAATCCATATGTGCAAATTAATACTGTTAGATTTTTAAATGTGAAGTTCTACAAAAAAACCCTTCAACTCCCTGCCCCACACTCCCCAGCAAAATCCCTACCATCTTCAGAGGGAAGTGTTGCTAATCTTCTAAAGAAATCCCTAAGACAGAAAAACAAATTGCAGTGCAGTTTTCAAGGCCAGCCATCCCCTATGTAATTTTTGCTCATTTCCCGACAGCTCTTTCACAGCAGTAAAAAGCCTTAGTTTGTAGGAAAATACATATGATTTCCCATCCTCTTTACCTAAGCTGTGTTTTTGTTTGTCTTTATTTGAACAAAACCGAGTACTGCAAATACGAAGAAGGAAATGCAAAATGGGAGTTTAATGACGCTTATTTGTAAATCCACGGAACTTACTAAAAAAATCCTATCAGATTTCTAAAGGCTCTGAAAGGCATCGGTTTGATCATTTTTTTAATTATGGCAGGTAAAATAATTTTCAGTTTATATTACATTCCACTTTATTCCAGCAATCAAATGCAACTTTGAACACTCAGTCAAATGACATTATTCAAAGGTCTATAAACTGAGAAGACAAAAATTGGAAAGTCCTGAATTGTTGTCTCTTCTCGCTATTGCAACTGATCTTTCTCCCTCACCTGATAAATGAGCAGATCATTTCCTATGAAGAGGCTGTGCTATCCAAACCTCATACAATGCTAAGAGGCAAAACACACAATGAATTTTAAAAGTAAAGCAAGCTCTTACTTTAACTGAAAAATCGAAAAAATCCAGATGTATTTAGAAATAAAACAAACAAAAAAATCCTGTATGTGGCTGATCACTGGGCTTTGTTACCAGAGAGGAAAAAATGGCTCACAGCCAACACATCCGGGACCCAAACTTACCCATGGAGCCAGACGTGAACAAGATGCAATGCTGAACCAAGCACAGATGTTATTTTTGGTATCTTTTTCAAGGACTCATCCTTGGTAAGGTGTAAGCTTCATGTTGTATGACACAGTATATATGACTAACAGCAGAGCACAAGACACACTATTGTAAATGGGTGAGCAGTGATATCGCCAGAACAACCCACATCACTTCAGTACCTACCTACACTAACACTCCCACCTTTAGGAGAAAGAAACTCCCCAGTCTTTAACTGGGCTCCTTTTTTTATCTCATTTTATATGAGTCTCAGTTTTCAAAGGTCATTAAGCAACCTGTATTCTAACCCCAGAAAGAGCTTACCATCCAGGCCAGGCAGAACAGTATTCCTCATGGCCAGCACCAAACCAAGCGGCGATCCGAAGAGGAAGAAATCAGACACCTCGAATTCAAATCGGCCCAGGTTTACTTCTGAGAGACTGGAATTCACAGGAAAGTCTGCACCATCTTTCAACACACTTGAGTGGATGCTGAGCAAAGAAAATGCACTGATTCAACAATATTGTAGAGGGGATCCAGAGAAAAAAAATCCATTCCCAGAACAGGCTGCTTAGAAAGCTCTCGCATCTGTATCTAGACCCAAGCAATCTGTCTTAAACTGTAGCTAGATACTGCAGTACAGCAGCCACTTATCACCATTTCTAGCGCAGCTATGCAGTAAATTTACTACCTTCAACATACAAGAGCTTTCTACAGTTACTCTACAGAATATTTATTGGTATGTTACACAAGGACTCAAGACTGAAGTTTACCTAGCCCACTTTTAGCAGTACAGATGTATGTAAGCTTACATTGAAACTTCGGCTACAAATTCTAACCTACTCGAGTTGTACGACCACAATGGTATGAAAAGGTTACAGTCGTAAAGTATGTTATATGGGTAGATAAAAAGCCTTGTTCTAATCCATTCCCTGAACTATGAACTAGAATTTCACTACTTTTCAACTATTTATTACAGGTTAAAATTAGTGATGCTTACAGACAGCTTTTACTCTTTTAAGTGATTTAAACATTCATTTACTTTGTATGCCATACATGTATGAGGTAAATACAGATCACCTATCACTCACTGACAAAGACTCGCCCCTCATTTAGTTCTGCTGGAGACAAAATAACTACATTCGTAAGCAGAAAAGGAGCATATACACTTACTGTCCTGTCATGAGTCAGAGCAGAACATGCCTCCAGAGTGTACAGAGCCTGACTGAGATGCTGACCATGCTGACTTCAACCGGAGCTGTAACTGAAGCACTCATGAGGTATCTGCACACTACGCTCTGCATCAGTGGCCAAGCATGGATCAGAATCAAGAAATCCTCAAGATTGGTCCCAAATCAGGCAAAGACACCAGGCCTCTCTTTCATTCTGAGAACCTAGCGACATTCTCAGTTTATAACCTGATGTTATTAACTGAAACCCCGGGGACCGAGCTTAGGGCCCCTTTAGGTAGCAATGAAGAAAGCCAAGAATTAAATCCATCATGGGCACAGCAGTTAGCAGTTAAGTCTCTTTGCCAAAAGCACTCAGACAAAAAGCACAAGCTGACATACTGAAACACAACCACAGTGTGTAGGACAAGGACATTTCTGTGTGAAAGTGTGATCTTTGTAACCTCATTACGTCACACTGACGCATCACCTCTGAATTGCTGTAAATGAGCTCAGGGGGAAAAGGTCTTAACGATCTTATGCAAGTCTCACAGACAGGAAACCAAAGGCTTGGAGTCTCTCCTATGTACAGGGTGGGTCAGAGGATGACATGGTATGGTTTGGTTTGATTTGTAGTTTTTTCCTCTTCTTTACCTTACCAATGAATTTTTTCTGCCATCTTTAGCCTGTGCTTGTCCAATTGTTCGTCAGTACTTTTGCAACAGTCTGAAGTTTGAGGAATAATGGAAGATAACATTGTTCTGTCTGCTTGCTTAAGTATTGCTGTATGTAAAGCTTTCAGTTTAAAATCACAGATACAGAGGAAATAAAACTGGAAGAAAACTGCTATCTTTGTCTTAATTAATCTTCTTATCTCCCAAGTCTGAAGTGCTTTATACAAGCCAACACTGTGCTTCAAATGTAATGCACTATTGCTATACAAGAACCTAAAAGTGACTGACCAAAAAAACCTTCATGTTTTTCATCACAGACAAGTGAAAAACAACCATTCTACCCTCAGCGGGAAGACACTTTACAACATGTCAATATCCAGAAAACCCATTGGTTTGAAAATAAAAGCAGAATAGTCAACAAAAGCAAAGCAAACTACATTCAGTTGAAAGAAGAAAATAAAATTACCTTAAACTACTGCTAACAAAACTGTCAGACTTGAAGGAAAGCACAGTAGTAAGTCTGCACTATGCTCAACTGTAGCAGAACTGAAACTTCTACACACAATAAGACTTCTACCTCTGCATCACTCCTAATGAAATAAAGCAAATAAGATGGATAGAGGAAAAAAAGCACAAAGAATTCAGATAAATAAAAAACCAAATAGCTTAGAACAGGCAGAAACAATGAGACAAAGAGAATGCTTATGTTCCCATCAAATCTGTGTTTTAAAAGGTTTCTTGGGATCCAGGAAAGTTAATTATGTTAACTCTTCTGCCCCAAGTCCTCTTCATTTAAGCCAAACGTTTACGCAGGGTTTGGGTTTTTTTTTTTTGTTTTAAAGCCGATTTGAATAGTTCATAGACCAACAGGAGCACCTAAAGCCATTGTCTCACTCTTTACAGAATAATAGAAAGCCCGTAAGCGAAGTCAGAGGGATCTTTAGAAAGAGAAAAGTAACCGAAATTTAGAATTATAAAACATTCATCCATTTTAATTTGTGGGCTGCACGGAAGAAATGGAACTAATTGCATTCAGTTTCGCATATTCAAAACTCTCACAACTGAATAAAGACTTTTTTAATAAAAAACTCTCCACATGTAAGTTCATACTAGAACCACTATATCAATGGTTTTCTTTGAGGGGTATACAGGGACTTTTAAGCAAACCTCCAGAAACACACCACAAACAAAAAAAATTATTCTGTTGCTCTGGTGCTGACAGGCTCCATTCAATGGCAAGCCTATTTCTTTCACTCACTCATCAAACACTTGTTACCTAGACAGGAAAGCATGATGTTGGGTTATAGTATCACAGTCATAGGTGGATGAGTCACTCTGTTTCCTAGGCAATGGCTGCCTTGGCTTCTCATCCTCCATGATTCCCGAGATGTCAATATTGCTTTTGCTCAGGCGTTTGCTGCCACCCAGACTGGAGTCCTCTGCTAAGAGGGGATTATCCTTCAGAGAATGAACAGAGCAAAAGGAAGATTTAGACAGTGATCAAAATACGACAGAGCTTATAAGAAATGTCTGCATTTACACATTTGACCTCTATCTGAGAAAGGGTGGAAGGGGTTAGACTCTCTGCAGTAGAAGACAAGGAAAGAGATGAAGACTAACTTTCCCTGTAAGATGTACAGTCTAAAAGCTGGAAGAATAACCAGGAATTTGGAGGCGGGGGTGGCAGGTATCCCTCATGACTTCATCATTCTTAAGAGAACTATAAATATCACAAGGTAATCAGAAGGGGTCTTACCTGAGTGCACAAAATGCCCATTACAACATTAATGGTCTTGCTCACCATGTTCCATGGATGCGGGACCTGATTTTTTAAGAATGTGAACTTCTGCAGGATGCAAGAAGAGATCAGTGGTACCATATCTTTAAGGTACCCCTTAAAACAGGAAATAGATTTATTCACTGTTCATTTCCTCCAGCACTTCTGTTGCTCGCAGAAGCATCCTCCCTGACATACCCCTTTTATTCCTGCATCCGTTTCAGTAGCCAAACACCGTTGGACTGAATCCCCCCATTAATGCATGGGATCTGGGTGCATGAGGCATGCAAGACCTGGTTCTTTCTAACAACTATGTAATTCAGTTCTGTGTAAAACTCCTTCTATTCAGATCAACAAAATAAGATAGGGTGAAAATGCCTGACATCCATTTTTACAAAACTCCAAAGATACAAACGTCAACAAGGCATGCTGGGAAAACAGTTAAACCCCTTCTAACTGCATAATTATTGGTTTTCATCCATATTCTACTAACTCTTACAATGTAGTACTAGAATTCATGTAATGATATCATACAACTAGCATTAGCATCTTAATAACGTCCAGAAGATTAGTTTAGGATCAGCATGTTCACAGACTATTATTCCTGTGATGGTACAATGAAAAAACATGCATGTAGGAAACTCTGCATTTCACAGTAACATAGCTGTAACATCATGCCAACTTTAATATGAAAGTTGCTAAGATTTAGGACTGGCTTGGCATAATACTAATATATCTACAATGTTAAAACTAAGCCTCGCTTCTCGTAGTTGCTACCGTTAATGAGTGCGGAGACCTATTTCACAGGGCCAGGTAGAAGGTGAGGGCTCCTGCTGTGTGTTAGCAGCCGACTGGCCCCACCATTTTGTGTGCTAAAGCAATGTAAAGCTAAAATAAAGCCTCCACCTAAAATATGTGCTTCTGTTGAGTTCAAGCCAGAGCCAGCTACAGGCCCTCCTTGTATTTTGTAATATAACCAGTAACTTTTTTTTCAGCCTGACAGTGTCTCCATGTAGCTTGATTTGCCCCGCAGTTTACAAACTTACACTGACACACGCTTATAACATGAGCCCTTTTGAGTAACTTTATTCTCCAGAACATCAGGGATCTTTCAAAGCCAAAATTCTTCCAACCAAAGTGTTCCTGACACAGTTTCTTTTAGAGTAACTTTTTGTAGGTGAATTCTCAAGAACATAAGTGAACATCATTTCTTCATCTGCTCGTGGCTCGCGATTATCTGAAACTGATTCAGCAAAGGTATTTACCTTTTAGCCTTCATGATGAGTTCTAATTTCTAGCTTGTTCCCAAGCAACAGTGCCATGAAAACGCAATATATTTATGATTTTAAATTGTAACTTGCATGCTACAAATATTCTGCAACCTTTGCCTAAAATTCCAATTTGGTGGGTTTATTATGAATAAATTTATTAAGTGCATAAGAATATTCACGGTGGCACAAAAGATGCAAGTGAATCCATAAACACATAGCTGAAAGGGAATTTTTAGAGATTGAACCAAAGCCCACGAAATGCTCTGACAAATCCACAGATTTTGGGGCTGTAGGTCAAGGTCTTAAACATCATACCATCAGTGACTTCTGAAAACTGCATCAGTTCTGTCAAGGCTCAGAGTTTCATCAAAACCCTGGTGACATTTTGAGACTCTCTTTGTTAAAATCACATGGCAGGTATGTCAACATCTTGGCTCCCCTTTTTTAAAAAGAATTCCTGTCAATGGACTGAGAAAAATGGAAACCCTTGAAGGTGCCCGGGAAGGAAAGCAGGTGCAAGGAACTCAAAGTGATTAAGTATTTTTGTTTAGGTCTCTTGATTTCCTGGTGGTATCAGGAAGAAGGTTGGCTGTTGGAAAGGCATAGAGTTGACAGTAATGTAACACCAAATGCTTTTCTTTTAGTCAGACGCATTTCTCCACAGTATTTAAAAACCAGCTTGCGTCACCACAGAACTAGCTAAGAAGATTTTAGTAATGGAAGCCAGTATCTTCATCCTTGAAAGCTGGCAACAATGCACCTTTCTCTTCAAGCTTCAATAACAGGTTTTCCTTGCAGAGCGTGTGTTCTTCTCATGTCATAAGACAATCTCAGGTCTAATTTTTCAGGAGTTTGACAGTTCAGGAACGATACTGTGTGGGAAAAGCATCAAGCTCCCTCTTCTGAACTGCTATCATTAAGGTTAACGTAGCATACCTAGCATTTCAGTTGTGCACGTTGATTTCCTGGACACAACACTTCTGTCAGAGACACAGTAGAATGCTAGCTGCATTTTTTTAAATTTTTTTTTTTTTTTTTTTTTTGGTTAAACTCTAGAGAAATAACCATCACCTAGAGCAAGTTAACAGGACATGGCATGCTATTATTGCACTGTAGAAAAAAAGCCTTCATTCTCTTTGATCAACACATCAACACATTTTAAACTTCATTTTCTATGGGTAAAACACAGGTCTTCCAAAGCATACATGCCACAGACAGTTCAATGAGGGAATAAAAAAGTAGTTTTAGAAGGACAAGGGGCTAGATCTCTGTGAGATGACCCTAGGGAAGGTCACTGGAAAATTAGCTAGGCATTGTACAATACAGCAGGATTCAAAGCTGTCCTTTTCGTTGTTGCATACAACTCTCTCCCTACACTTATTTACATTTTCTCCACCACTGCTCCCTACACCCGTCTTCTTGGACATGACTTTAAGCCACTGCATTACACTGTTGAAGCGTCATTGGAACACCCTTCACAATTCGTAACAGCAAACGCCCCAAGTGAAAATAGACTTTATCATGCTCAGTATTTTTGAGCCACTTGCAAAGAGTGTAAAATCCAACTAGACAAAACAGAGGATGGGAGAAAGAGTGCAAGGCTTATAGATGGGGACTGAGGCATGATAGATCAAGAGACTTGGTCAAAGTCACACAGACAGACTATGGAAAGCATGCTAATTGAATCTATTTCTCTGAAGCTACAGAAAGGACAGGTATTTCCCATGACCTCACTCAGTACTGGAGCACATCGGCAGCCCTGTGCACGTGGGGTGAGATTTCATGTCAAGAAGAGATGTTGAAGAACCTGATCCCTTCTCCAGAATTACGGAGATGAGTTTCAGGAAACGAAACCAAGACAGACGCAGTATATGATCTATGAGATGAACCTTCCCACACTGTTCCTCTTACAGTCTTCAACAGCCAAGAGGACCTCCTGGCTTCTATGACAAGTGAATAATTAGTCTTATTCCTGAGAACAGGGAACCAGGAACTATAGTTCTGGAGCTGGCTTTTATCCTGTGAACAATCTGTTCATGTGATAGTCCCCTTGGGGACTGAACTGGGACCAGATTCATTTTACACATTACTGAACAGCCATTCAACAGGAAAGCCTGACAACCACTTCACAAAGCCAGAAGGTTATTTGGCGAGAAGAACTATCACCGAGAAATTAACTTCTCTAAACCATCTTTCAACTCCCCCACATACCAAAATTAAAATCTCATCTGCAGTAAAATGGTATCAATACTGGGATTTGAATCAGTCACCCACAGGTGGCTTATATTTATCTCTGATCCACACGAAGCAAATCACCAACTTTCTCCATTCATCCCAATGAAGAGTTGTCTACTTCTACACTACTTTAGCTGTTGCAACAAAAAAGAACCATCTTCCTCTCCTAAGAGACAGTGTTCTCAACCAAATACCATGACTGCCAATATAAGACTTCTGGTTTCTGCTGCTGCTGGACCAAATTCACTTCATTCATCTGTACTTTAATAACTCAAGGAACGAGACGATGATGATAACGCTGGCTTTCTTTGTTAAGCATTTTGATATTCACAAATGTTAATTGATTTTTAAAGAGTAGGAGTTACTAGTCTGGTCTGAGCAGAGTGACATTCGCTCTACTGCAGATTCTTTTACTGAACATGCAGGCAAATTTCAAATACTGCCCTGTGCAAGCATGTACATGCAACAATCATCATGATGGCAGTAATCATTCACATTTCTGCCTATACTACCTATTATGGATAATCCTGACTTGATTATTTAGCGTATATTAGGCACTACAATACAGAAAACAGACTACAACACACAAACCAACAAATACTCACCTGGGGTAGCAGAAAAACATACCATTCTCTTATTTACATTGCCTCATTAAACTAACAGGCATTCTCTCTCCAAAAGGAAGTTTCTAGTGCCTAAAACTGACCTATTCAGCGAATGTAATGGTCACTGCATCACCAATCTAGATCACTTTGAAACAGAGTAAGAAGGGAACTACATAATCCTAATTTACTCTATTTCCATGGTTTATAACCAGAACATAAAATGGAATGCTTGAGAGCACCTCAGTCTCATGCTTATTTCCAACCAGTTTCATTTCACAAATGCCCCTGACAGGTGTTTCACAGGAGCAAGCTGAGAACAACAGACAGACAGAAAGACAAGGACATAAAAGAATACTTAGTTTTTCTGAACACACAGAGGAGTAGAGATGAAGATGGAGGAGAAAGGGAAAAGATGGAGAGAGGAATGGGAAGAGAAGTTCTGTGGTATCAGCAAAGAGAGGAATACAAGAAAGTTGAAACAGTAAGAGCAGGGAAGTTAAAAGAATCTATACTCCCTAAGGCCTGATCCCCACTCTGATTCACCAGCAGCCCTTACACAACCAACCCACTGTAGGACTTGGATCCAGGAGGATCATTTCTCCATTTACTTTGCTTGCAATGCACTTTCCTCAGTGCTGGTACTATGAAAGGTGGCCTGTCAAGAGTCCAGAGTCATGTTATTAATGGTGAGTAATTCTCCTTCCTGGAAACATTTACAGGATGTCTCTTTGCTCAAGAGTACTCTCATCACACATAGCTCTCAACCGGTTGGTATCACTGAGCCCATTTTTGAGGCAAGAGGTAACTAAGGAGATGAAACAACTTGGCCAGGGTCACAAAAACAAAGAAAGGAGTATGGAGACTCCACTCAGTGCCAGCTCTAACACACCACACCTCCTCTCCACATCCACTTGAGTCTGGTTGAATTTCAATTTTCTTTCTTCAATGTTGAACACAATAATGAAGCTTACACGCTAGCATTACTTTTAAAAAAATGTGCTTTTACTATCATAAAATCTTTCTTGGATCAAAGTCAGAATTAATTCTTCCTTCTCTCCAACTGCAGCACTCATACAGACACTGCCATGCTGAGTGTTCCATTTACAGATCCTCAGGTGACTTGCATTTGTTATCAGGAAGGAGGCATTCTTTCACCAGTCACTAAAACTTATTCATGAACACATCTTAATGCTATACTCCCAGGCGGTAGCATAAGGAATTCCAGACCCTATGTGAGTAAATTTAAAAAAAAAATTACCAAAAAAAAAGATTAAAATATTTTGGCAAAAAAAAGGAGCCTACCAGAGATTACTGAGAGAGGACTTGTTTGCTATCTACAGTCAGGGATACAATAAAGGGCATTTGGTAAGCCTGATTGAAAGATTTACAGATAAAGCCTTCACTAATGATTTCTGTATATCATAAAACTGCAGACTTAATGTTCAGACAGCAATTTTTTGACATATGAGCAAAATCCTGTGCTATCACGGCAATTTTACCAAACCCTTAAAATTTCTCTGGTTTATATGGAGCTGATTTCCTCCATGGAATGAATGTATTTCATCTGCGTGGATTTTTTCTCTTCACCTGGATGCTGCTGATGCTTCCTCTCCTGCTGCTGTTCCGACTCTCATCAGCTGCATTAGAATTATAGCAGATGGCATCAAAGCCCAAAATTCCTCCAATGCAGTCACCAATGAGACACACCTGAGGAAATAAGAAGATTTTTTGGGGGGGAGTGTAGCAAGTGTTGTATAAGAAACAAAAAGCAGTGCAGAGGAGTTGCTGTCTTACTTTACATGCTTGTCCTGTTGTGTTTTTTTTTTTTCTACACCTTGGTTCCTATTGCAACTGAAAATTTATAGCCACATTCTCCCACTTCCTTTTTATCTCCAGGCATGTGCCCTATGCTAAGAATATCTGTCCCAGGGACTATTTTGACCAGCTGGGAGTTGTTCCAGCTCCTTGCAGCCAGACTCCAATTCAGAAAGTCCAGATCACCAGACAACCGGTCTCACAAAGATTTCGAGCTACTTAACATTTCCTTGAGTCGCACAGGGAAGAAGAGCTCAACAGATTAAAACCAGATTGGTACCTCCCTGTCAGGACAAGGGAACAGAACTTTTAAATGAGGTATTAAGCAGAGATTCACTCTTGCTTCACATTTAATTTAAACATACAAGCTACATTCAAAGTACGGACCTGTGAATTAAAATACATATAATACTAAAACTGGGAATTCAATCATCGGGAGTAATTTTATGGCACACTAGAATCTAGCTCAAGCCAATTCCACTGAACACCTCTCCATCCTCTACCAGAGGATACTTTCTCCCTGGCCCCCTGCCTGTGTCTGAGGATGAATAATAGCTGTATTGCCTTTCTCCTTGGTAAGAGCACCCCACCCCGGTTCCACAGGTTCCAGCAACCCTTTCCCTCCAGTTCTCAAACTGAAGCAAACGTCCAGTCTGTTGTTCCCAACTCCAGTTAGTTTAAAGAAGACATTACCTCTCCTTACAAACCGTAACTGGCTTCTAGCCCTAATTCAGCTTGGCTACAACACTAAAATACAAGTTTTGGGCAACAGGATGTCGTGCATGATTTCTTCAAAGTGAAGCACGTTAGGAAAAGTGAGTGCTTCAAGAAGCAGGTGGGGAAAAACTTCAAACTTCTCTTAGTGCATCTCCACACACCACACACTCTTAGTTGAATACATTTCTTGGGATAAAAAAACTTTTTTAAAAAAATACATTAAGTTAACACCTATCCTGAGACAAGTCTGGTTCTAAAGTTGTAGACGATTGAACAGCATGCTGATTTACTCTCCGTCAAATTCCTACACCACACAATGAAGTCCACAAAGAACTGAAAATTATATGATACAGGTAACCTTAATAAAATTAACAGCATGTTTTGTGGAGGATTAACAGTATCTCCTTCAATTTACCATTCCATTTCTAGTCCTCATTATTATTGGCATTAAGGTAATGGAGTTAATTTGTTCCAGATACTACATAGAACCAAAAAGGCCATCTCTGATCTAATGAACTTGCAATATAAATGGACAGAAGAGACCAAAATATGGAAGGAAAGATACACACAGGCTGGGGCTCAGCTTATATGGTATGTATTTTAGAAGTATGGGACTTGTTCAGAGGTAGTGTTGGGATTTCTACCTAATGACCAAAGCAAAGCACTGTAGACAGCACTGAGAAGTCACTTCCATTTTAACAATGCTGGTAATTGTTGATGGTGAAAATTCTGTGGAGCATACAGAAGTCACACAGACTTTTTCAAGTGAAATATTAACATATATGCTTTGTAAAACACACCACAGAGACTTCTTTGTAGCTTTGTCAAAGAATAAAACCCATAACACTCAATTTCTATTGAGAGAATTGTTTTCACAATTATTTCCGTAACTGGTGTAATTCTTCTTTCATAATCTCACCTTTCATAACGTTCTATCACTGCAGCTGGGCTGTTTTTAGGCTTCAAACAAGAAGAGTTTACTATGAATATTAAAACTGGCTTCAAACCAAATTTTAGTCTAAAAATACTGATATGCCACAGCATAATCTTATCACTGCTATGGAAAAGAATTTGTTTGTGTAGTAAGACACATGTTTTTCTTCAAAGATTACACCGTACTTTACATTACATGTCTTTTTTTTTTCTTTTTCTGAAGTGTGGAGGTCACGGTGCTTTAAGGAAGTGCATCTTTCCAGCTATGTAGAGGGCCCCATCACAAAATAATTTCAGTAACTCATAAAGGGTAGCAGTATCGTATTTATTACTCTATGTGAAGCAGCAAAGTACTGTTTCTTATAGTCTAAAGACGGAGAAGCAGGAATAGTAACTGTGACATGTCAGCTGGAAGAAGTCTGCAGTTGACTTCACTGGGGAGTGGGTCATACCAGAAAAATTACATGACTTTCCCAAAGTCACACAGGAAATCTGCAACACAACCGGCACCTGAGTGTTTGTCTTCTAAGTTTCTTTACTGTCAATTGTTTTATTACTACTGTGATGGAGGCAAAAAAGAAATAGCAATAATTAAATGTTGGACTCCTTATGTTGTTAGTCATAAATGACCCAACTTTTCTATTGGCTATAGCAGATGTGTAAGGAACTCAGTAACACAGATAATCATTTGTCTTGGGCTGGTATGCTTGTTCACTGCCTAGCATACTGCACTTACTGCACAACTAAGGCTCTTACACGCTACTGGAGTTCATAGCAGTACTTGGTAAGAGCTCAGGAGCCAAAATGCTTGTGGGAAAAGGTATAGTATCTTCTACCAACTGAGTAAGTCCAGGTTAAGACACTGCACAGGTTCCAGAAGTGTCTTTCTCATGCTGGGCACTGAGAAGGCATTTTGCATAGGTAACCCCATGCTAACATTCATTCATCATATTTGCAGTATTGTCCCATACTCATAACTCAAACCCCTCCACATAATGGTTTAAAAAGAAACAGCCTTGCTCCAAAGGAATTTTACTTTGATGTAAGAGAAAACAGTCCTACCTGTCCATTAAAACCAGCCCCATCTGTAGATTTGAGAAATTCATTGTAAACTTGATTGGCTCTACTGATCACCATGGCAACTGCATCCTGGTACTGAGGGGATGAAACAGCCAGCAATGGCAAGGCAGCCAGTGGGATGTGGTCTTCACTGCTGCTGAGACAGCTCTCATCATAGCTGTAGGGATTTAGGCTAGAGAAGGACATGCTATCATCAGGAAACATGGAAGAGGCAGCACATAGCATTAGAGAACAAACAGTTAGTTACTAACTGAAATGGGCTGGGCTATTGCAGTTCAGAATGAGAGAATATAGGAAGGATCATTTTCTCACAGAATTCAACTAGTTAAAAAAATCAAGGAGTTACTGCTTTACATGAATGAGATCACACTAGAAGGCGTTTCTGTAGTTAAATACACCTGGTACCATTTTTCCATATACAAGTAGACATAATTTAGAACAGCAAAGAGATTATTCCATTTCAGCTTTTTTCCCCCCCCCATATAACAACTACTACATCAAAGAACAGGATCCAATCATCACAATGGAATAGTTTCCTAGAACACAAGAGTGTGACAGATGCATTGTTCAAAAGCATATAAAAACATTTTTCCCAGTGTTCCATCCTTTCAGAAAGATGGAACAAAGCTGCGCACATTCTGAAAGCATATGTCAATGTTTGCATGGTAATATTTTGCAAAAACGAGGTGACTCAACTGAAAACACAAACACAAAAAGGATGTCAGCTTTATTTTAGCTTGGTTGCGCACCCTGCAAATTTCTCAGTAAATCTGCCAATCGTGTCCTAACTGATTTTTATTGATAGGCAGGGAAAACAATTTACAGAGAGTCAAGGGCAAGGTACGTTTGCGTGTGCCAGATTTTCTTACAGTAAGTTGACTGTCCTTTAGAGATTAAAGGAAAGTCAGAAGCATTTTGGATGATTCAGCTCATCCGAAGTTCACCCAAAGCTGCAGGCAGGCAACTTCAACTGTACTTTGTATTCACTTTCTTTAGGAACTTGGGCTACCACAATATTGAAAAACAAGCTGCCTGAAATGGAATTAGTCTATGTCTTGCTAAAACCTGCAGCCTTGAGGCTATTACCAGGGTAATGGAAGAAGAACAGAAGACTTGCAATGGTCAAGTACGGAAGCTGGTCTGCGTTCATGTCCTGAGCCTCACTGTACGTTTCCACACTTGCCTAAAACACTCCAATGATTTTGTATTTTTCATCCAAAGTAGCATAACAGTTCCTATGTCCTGGAGCTCAGCTGGTCTGCCAAGCTATGCCAATTTACCAGTTAATGCAGCTTCATTTTGCCAGCTGATTAGATCATCCAAACACACAGCAGACATACAGTTATGAACACCAACTCTCAAAAATGAAAAACAAACCTTAAAAACCTACATAAAAAGGCCTCAAGTACTAGAAAAAGATAACACCCCAGAAAGGGAAAGGGAGCAACACAGGAGGAAAAAAAAATTATGAACTGGACGTTTGAAATGGAAAAGAAAACCTGCATATGTTTTTCACAATAAAAGTAAAATGCAAACAATATTCACAAGAGAACTACACAAAACAGAGTCAATGGAAAAATAAATCACCAGTAATTTTTTTTTTTCTGTGGCTAAAGGAATATAGATCAAGCTGAAATTGAGTAATTATTGTCCAGACAATTAATCACAGTTAACTGGCTTAGAAATGAGGGTTTGTGTTTTTTCATTCCAATTTATTTTATTGTAAAGGTTGCAGCTACGGAGACCTCTGTTGTTATGGTAGACACAACACAAAAGGAAGAAAGAACCAGAACACTGAAAG